CCCCCCCCCCCCCCCGCCACACACACATAGGTAGAATCCCTTCTCTCTGCTCCTTACTCGTCGCAGTTCCATCCACTCACCCCTTCCTGTTCCCACCAGCTGTACTAATAGATGAATGGCTAATATGTATTCATACATTTTGGGGTATTTTCAAATTTTAACTTTCTGAATAAGTGTGATTTGGTAAAAGTATAACTGTGTTTTGAGAAATCACTTTGAAAGTTTTTTCTTTTCTAAAAATGTATTACTAATTTAGAACATTCTTTCTTAAATAACACATCCCGACTGGAAGCTACATAATAAGAGCCTTTCATGTTGTGGGAAGTTCCCTGAGACTCTTCTATGTTCCTTAATTCCTAAGGAGAGTCATGGAATAAAGATTTATAATTTATTATAGACTGGTGTGCTCTAAGCATGGGGAAACTACGACCCTCAATTTATCTTCCTGGGCCAGAAGTTGGCATTGCTTTTATCACTGCTTTTCCAGCCTGGGGAATCAGTAAATCCAACGGACATCTGTGAGAGAAGAAAATCCCAAAGTTTACTATAATGGTTAAAAGCTTAGACTCTGGCACCAGATACAAATAATGATGATAATTAAATGTAGTAATAATAACAAATGCATGGAACACTGATGAACCCCCAGGCATGACTGTGAATGCTTTACATGATATGACTTGTTTAAAATCCAGCACCCTCTGAAGTAGGTACTATTATCATGTCCTTTTTAGAGATGTTGAAACTGAGGGACAAAAAGAGGTGGTCACTTCCCTAAGATCACGAGGCAGAATTTGAAGCTAGGCCATGGGCACCTGAATTCCTGTTGTGACACTATTCACAGCAGAGTTCAATCCCAATTCTCAGTTGGGTGAACTTGTGCAAATAACCAAACTCTCTAAGCTGATTCTTTTTCCTCTGAAAAACAAGGGTAATATATACCTCATTTTCAGGTTTGGGGGAAGATTAAATAAACTATTAGCTGCATCAATATACAGTATACGGTGATTGGAAAAATCAACTCATTATGATTAATGTTTTAGATTAACAATATATATTTTTGTACCAGTATTTTTTTACTCAGGATCAAACACGTGCCGAATACCTAGTATCAGTCATTCTGGGTAATGCATTCTCATCATTGTTCCATTTCATAGCCTCATGACAACCTGCCAGACACGTATGATGATCCCTACATTACAAATGAAAACACTGAGACTCAGGGAAATAATATTTTAAATAATAACACTATTAAGAGTGTTATGGGCTAATGGAGGTCAAGCGCTGTAAGCAGTGGTTATTGGTTACTAAAGTACCAAAGGTTTCTTTCGGACGCCTGCCTGGTGTTTGGAGGGCAGCTCCTGGCCTCTGCTCCAGGGATGGAGGGAGAGGGTTTGCACGGGAGGCAGTTGGTGTCCATGGCCCTGCGTGAGGGACCCGGCATGGGAGGTACCTTGTCCCCTGAGGAACGCTCATCACCTGCTCCCCCGCCACTGTGGCTGCAGCACTGACCACTGCTGCACATGACATCAAAGCACTGAGGTCGCTGCCTGATCAAGCAGGACAGAGCAGAAAACTGTGAAGCCAGGCACCTGGGCAAAAAGGTCCAGGCCCAGAGCCTTCAGGGACTGGCAGCAAGTGCGTTTAAGGAGCATGGAAGGAGCCACACTCCCAGGCAACTAAGAGTACGAAGACTCTGTTATCTAAATCCTCGGAGAAATTGCAGATGCAAAGACTGACAATTTTTTGATACAAAGCAGCAGCCACTCTGCCCCCAGAACCGTCCAGAATGGGACACAAGCAGCAAAGGATCATAGAACAGAGTCAAGAACAGACCATCGTAAGATGAGGACTCTCTGCAACACCCAGTCCGGCCTTGACAGGAGTTTTCCCAAGTTCCTAGGGGGGGAAAATTAAAAGTTTATCTCAGATATTGAGGTATGGGCTGTGCCAACCTCCCCTAATCCCTTTTTTATAGATAAGAAGTTTAAGAGCCCCTGCAGATATCAATACAGAGACCATCTGGACCTGGTGGATCTCATCCAACTCTTGTAATCAAACTGCAGTCCATAGACTGGAAGACAGGTCAGCGGCCCCCTGGCTGAGAGTGCCTCGGCCAGGCCATCTCACTGGGTGACCTCCACCAGCCATTCAGTAACTAGTGATGGCTTATCTTGACTCCCACGGTCATAGTGAACTTGCCTTTGTCCCCAGAGCTGCCCCTGACTGGTGGCCTTCCCTTACTTCCTGCAAAGTCCTGCTGCCTCTTCCCCGCTCCCTCTTACTCCACTCCCTCCCTGTGCAGGTCTTGTTGGTCTTTCCATGAAGATTCAGTGTCTGATTCTCCTCTATTTTCTCCAGCCCTTGGGATTCTTTTTCGGTGTCTTTCCCTCTTTATATGTTTCCCTGATTTTTTTTCACGGTTCTGTCTTTTCCATTAGGTCACCAGGTAGTATCCAGGGTTGCAAACACAGGCTCTGGGTTCAGAATACCTGGGTCCATCCTTGCTCACTGACCCCAGGACAACTATTTACATGGCCTCTCTAGATTTCAGCTTCCTTATCTGCAAAATGGGCACACAGTGATAAGATCATCCAATGGCACTAATCCCACAACTGCCAGAATAAATGTTCCATCAAGTAAGCTGTTAATAACTTGGTTGTTTTTGTTGTGTCCCTGACCCCTTTCTCCGTTCATTTCTTCTTTTTCTTCCTCTCTGTCTCTCAAACACCCACTTCCCCTCCTCCACGTCTCTAGTACTTCCTCTCTTCTGTCTCTGTATGACTGCCTTTCTCCTTGAATATTCTGCTCTTGAACAATATCCCCCACGTTTAAATCAGTCCCTTCTTCTGCCATCATCAAGGGTCTCCTCTTCGACGTTGACCTTGGGCCCGTAGTCCTTAGCCCTTCACACCTGTACACTGACCTCCTACAGGAGTCCTTCTAAATCACAATTGCTTCCAGGTAGTCATTCTCTTTAAATCTGGTTTTACCGACACCCTGGGTTCCTCTCCCTTCGTCTTAGTATTTGGGCCAGCAATCTCTTGTCACAGCTAATTCTCCAAGACTCAGCCTCTGGTTAGATGCTCATATAGACGCCCCTCGCCACCTCCTCCATGGTCCTTCAACATTCCTTCCCTGATTCTCAGTGTTTGCTCAGGACTCGGACTCCCACCTCCCCTTCTCCCTTTCCTCTTAGCAGATGGGAATCGCGCTTGTATTTGCCTCAGTCACCTTGCTCAAGGCTTAGTGGGAGCGTAGGTCTCTCCCCCCTCTCTTCTCCACTGCTTTCTTCATGATTAATTTTCTCCTGGATTGCTGAAGAGAGGGACAGAGAAGAGGACAATCAGAGATCTCCACCAGAGACCAGGAACATCATCTCAAAATTACAAATTTACGAGTTTCTAGCCCTCTAGAGCTCAGCGGGTCCCAATCTTCATGGTAAAGTTCCCCCATCATCCTTGGACAGAAGAGAAGCCCCAGCAAGGGAACTGTTATGTTCCACACCCAGAACTGAGCCACTTGTATGTAAGGATAAAGGAGTCATGGAAACATCCTGATCCTGTCAGTTATGTAAAATAAACCTCACATCGTGGGGAAAGCACATGTCAAGATAAATAAGGAAAGTGAAATGTGTTTTTACCGAACTGTTCAAACTGTAAGGAAGAAACAGAGAGATTTCCTCTGGAGAAGGGGTAGGATCCTAGAGAGGTCTGTGTGTATAAAAGGGAAAGCCCAAGAGCTATGAAGATGGGACTAGGGACTTCCCTGGTGGTCCAGTGGTTAAGACTCTGAGCTCCCAATGCAGGGGGCCCAGGTTCCTATCCCCGGTCAGGGAACTAGATCCGCATGCCTCCACTAAGAACCTGCATTCTGCAACTAAAAGAGCCCGCGTGCTGCCTCAAAGATCCAGCGTGCCACAACTAAGATTTGGTGCAGCCAAATAAATAAATAAATATTAAAAAGAAATAAAAATAAAGATGGGACTAGATAAGACGAGGGTTGAGCTTAATTGTGTTGGGGAGGATGAGTGGTCCCAAAGGAGACCAAGCAGAGGGGCTGACACGTGTGGTGGGGTTACTAGACAGGGTTCCCATAGTGGTCCAGATCCCACAAAGAAGGACACTCTGAAGCCACAAGCAGGGAGTGCCTGTGGCAGCACTGCAGGACGTCCCCACGACTCCTGGGCCAGCGACCTAGGAGGCTGCCCCAACGAGGAGAGGCCAGGACACCAGCCCAGGGCCCCTGCAGCTGGGTGACCCAGCAAGCGTAGGAGGAAGGAAGTAAACCAGGGAGCCTAGGGGGTGGGTCCCTGCCAGGAGTCCGGGGAGGAGACACCAGGGGAGGCAGTGGAGCCCGGGCTGCCCCAGAGCTGATGGCAGGAGCACCTCCTGGGACAGTGCCTTTGAGGGGGTGAGATGGACAGGACTGTGAGAGCCATGGCTGCTTTGTCTTCCCCAGGACACGGGCTTCAAGCCTCAGCAAAACCAGGCGGAAGGTGCGAGGAGAACAATGGCCCAAAGCCCAGAAGAGTTGAAAGAGGCCTGTGGGCAGGCACTGGGGGCTTCAGCACATGAGATGGGGGTGGGGACCTGGCAATAGGAGAGATGTCACGCCCTGGTCACAGTCCGCAGCCTCTAACTTTGGCCGCTGACCCGAGCTCTCAGGGACAGCAGAGTCCAGGAGGTGGCCGCAGCAACCTCCCCCAGGGGCAGGTGGATGGCAGCAAGTGTAGGTGTGAGTCGCCCCAGCATTTAAAAAGTATAAATTATGCCTTCTCAGGAAAAAGTCAAGATTTAGTTTTGTATAAGCACCAAAAATAGCTCCTGGAAGAGAAGAGCTTTTGTGATTATTTGAGGAGAAAACGTTAAAAACCATTTTTCCTTCAAGGGCAGATTTGATATTGAGTCAGCTTTCTTGCTCATTACTCTGGAAATCTGATGAAAGTGGCCTTTCTTCTGTGTTACTAAGCCAACCCTGGGTTTAGGGCTTAAAATGACCTGTGACTGGTAAATTACATGTGGATTGGGATCTATGGACTATTCTCGGGTCTTCCTTCAATGTGGTGATTCTTGTAACTCAGCTTGTCCCTCTAGGGGTCCCTAAAAGTTATGATTCTGGGGTTGTTGGGATACTGACTCCCACTGATCTGCTGTTGCCAAGCCAGGATAGATCCTGCACCTACAGCTAAGCTTGAGATGGGTAGTAGTGAACTCAGTGGACTGCTGTGTAGACCACTGCTGCCCTGTCATTTGTCCTTCTAACTAGCTTGGATGCCGCTGTGGCTCTGGTTGTCCTGTGAGTCTAAATGCCTAGTTAAGCAGAGCTCCAGGTTGGTGTTGTACTGTAGCCATTATAACATGAGCTTCAAGAAGGCTCATGGTATGTGTTTTGTTAACTGTTATATCTCCACTACCCAGCACCATGTATGGCTCGTGGTATAAGCTCAATATATACTTGTTGAACAAAATTGGCCTTGAACATCAAAAGGTAGATAATAAGCTAATTACCCTTTACGAAGCTTTCATAAACGTGATTTAAATCAGGATATTCCTGCCGGTTGACCTCACTGAACACAGCTTCCAGAAGCGACAAGTCAAATGTCTTCTCCAGCTCATTGAGAACATTGTAAACCACTCTCGATACAGGGACCAGGTTTCTACAAGAATCTTGACAGTCCTAAAAAATATTGAATGGAGAAAATATAAATACAGACTTCCACGTTACAGAAGAGCCCTAGAAAGAGATTTTACGGTTAATGTATTCCAATTGCCATACATATGTATCTTTTCACATAAAGGTTTAGAATTTCTGTGTATTTGTATGGCTACTAAGTGGAACAGTAAATCCTTTCTCCTTAGAAATCCCCATTTGTGAATCTGATCTCCCCACCCTCATTTATATTAGATGTAAGAAGGAGAAATTCTGAAGAATAAAATTGGGTTCAAAGTTAACGGATATGTAGGCTTCTAAAGAGCTTCGTCAAATGTTTTAGGAATAGACTTGGCAGGTGATGAGCAGCTATTCTGTTGACTGGACAACTCCTGCCCCTTCACCAAGACTGACTTGGCCTGGAAGGGCTCAAGGAAGGCAGGTGACAGTTTCCCCTTTTGTGAACTTGACCACAGGGAAAGCATATTTGTAGGGCAAGGAGAAGACTTGCATCTCTGTAGCTCCAACAACAGCTATTGCTAAAATTAACCCAAATTCCAAGACTCCAGAAATAGCATAAATAAAATAAGTAAATAAATGGAAAAAAAGACCCCCCCCGAAAAAACCATTGGAGAAAGAATAGCAAGCATATACCCCCAAATTTGTCCTAACAGGACATCAATTCCCTGTGGGTTTTAATGTTCTCAGATCAATTTAAATTGAGTTCATTGAAAAGAAATGCTGTGTCAATTATTATTTCATTAAATCATCTCATTTAAATTATTCATCAATTCATTAAAATTCTTTTAATTCTTAGTTTATGCTCTACTGTGTGCATTCCCACAAGGAATTAAACATCTGTGGAGCACACCTGCTTCAGGTGCAGCCTGTCTCCAGTGCTACTCACCTTGATGCCAGTGGTCACCATGAGCACCATCCCTTCAGTTAGAAGCAGGACTGTCTCCAGTGATGCCTGTTTCTACTCTCCCTCTCCTTTTTTACCTTATCACAATACTTGAACAATTGCAAAAATACTTGAAAAGGTCTTCTTCTCATAGGACACTCCTCAGTTAGCTCCTTGTGCCCTTACTTCTGTGTTCAGGTTATCGAAGCATAACTTAGTATGGGGCTAGTTTACCAGATTGTGACATAATAAACCTCACTTACTTCATACATTCTATTGGTGATGAGTTCACGGTCACGAAGAACCTCAAGGAAAGGAAATGTCTTTTTTATTGCAGTTGAAATCTCCACTTTATGTCTTTTGAAGTGCCTGAATACAGTCTCAAAGATAAGCCTGTCGTCTGTGTTCTGATTTTCTGTGGATATCCTAGGGAGGAAGAATACCATGTGAAAACGGTCATCAGTATTCCAAGATGCTTGTGGAGGCTGTAACATTTTATATATAAAGGATAGGTTGCGAAGAACCAACATATATAAAATAAGTGGTTTCAGAAGAGACCAGAATAAATGGAATTGAAACAACAAACAATGATATAATTGAAGAAAGTGAGGAGGTTAAGAAAGACTGAGGCACAGGACTGAAAAAGTCCATTCCAGTCTGTCCCAATCAAAACCATTGTAAAGATATCTCCCCTTATCTGGTATATTTTTTAATTAAAAAAATTTAAAATTTGTACAAAATCAAGGTGGAATAAACAGAGGAATGAAAACAATGGAATAAAAAAATCTAACCTTGAAAAATGTCTCTTAATTAATAACTAAGAGAAAATAAAACAAGATGTCCCCTCCTCTGATCTATAACTGTTAAGAGAAATACCATCCTGTATTATAAAACTAGTCCATAAATGATAAGATGTGGTTAAGAATATGATAGGGATAAACTGAGAAATTCACAAGACTATCAGTCATTTCTTCTGGGACTTCTACTTTGTGTTAATATAAATCTTTCTGTTATTGTTTAATATAGTGAATCTTTCTAGACATCTGAATTTCAGAAATTGCTGCTATTTTCTGTGATAGTAATTTTAAACCTGAGCCCTTAATTCTGGTTCTTAGGTGATTATTTTATTGCTCTGATAATGTTTTAATCAACATTTTGTATTCATAAGAGTTACGAAGACATTAGGATTCTTTGTCAAACCAGAAGAAAATGATTGTCACTTACCAGTACCCAAAACCATCAAAGAAATGACACTTTATTTTGTTGAATTCTGCATAAAGAAGTTTCTGATTAAAGACTGCAGATTGAAGAGGATCATTTGTCTTCTCTTTTATTATCTCCCCTCTCCCCCCAGTAAAATGCTAATGAAGGGATTGGATTCACAATGACGAGGAGAATGTCAGGGGGCAATGAGCAGATGAGAGATTACTACCGAAATCTATAAGACAAAAACTGGTCAGAGGATCACTAATTACTGGTGTAGGTGGAGGATGCTCCCAGAGGTCAGAGAAGCAACCAGTGTACCCTGCAGCACCTGGAGAAGCAGTGGAGATCACAAGGGAGACATGGTGCTGAAAACTGTTGTGTTATTTGAAAAATGAAGAACAGAACAACACACCCTTCACCCTTCAACTTGCCTCCTGACCACTTGTGCCCAGGCAGCCTCTCAGAGGGAAACATTGCTGTCCTTTCTGTCACCATATGTTAATTTTGCCTGTTCCTGGATTCCATACACGTGAAAATAATACAACACATGTGCTTTGTGTCTGACTTCTTTTGCTCATCATCCATGTTGTTGGATGAACAGAAATTTGTTCTTTATTATTGTTGAAGGTATTCCACTGTGTGGACCTACCATAATCCGTTTATTCATTTTCCTGTTTATGTACACTTGGGTGGATTCTAGTTTGGGACTAGTTTGAATAAAGCTGTTGTTCTTGTACAAGTTTTTTAGTGGCAAGATGTTTTAATTTCTCTTGTGTAAATAACTAGGAGTGGAATTGTTGGGTCATTGTGTAGGAATATGTTTAATGGTTTTAGAACCTGTCAAACTGTATTTCAAAGTCTATGGACCCATTTTAGTCTATAAGGTATAATGTGATATCCCATATAGTTCTAATTTGTATTTCTTTAATGACTGATAATATTGAGCACACTTCTGTATGCTTATTGGCAATTCATAATCTCCTTTTGTGAAGTGTCTTTTCAAGTCTTTGGCCCATTTATATATTATTAGATTGTCATTTATTATTTACTGATGTGTAGGAGTTTGTATATATTATGGAAACAAGTATTTTGTTTAATGTATGTATTATGAATATTTTTTCCCATTCTGTGGTTTGCCTTTCATTTCCTTGACCATGTCTTTTGACATGGTTAAGCTATCATGCTTTTCTTCTGTGGCTAATAACTTCAGTGTACTATTTAAGAAATCTTTGCCTTCCCCAAGTTAATGAAAATATTCAAAAAGTAATTTACAGTATAAGCATGGATCTATTTCTGGATTTTCTATGCTGTACTATTTATCTGTTTGTCTATCCTTGTGCCAATAGTATATTGATTTGAATACTACAACTTATAGTAAGTTTTGAAGTCAATTAGGAAAATATTGTCTTGGGTTTTCTAGGTCTTTTGGTTTTCCACATATTTTTTAAATTGGATTTGTCAATTTCTACAAGAAAAGCGTTTTAGAGTTTTATAAGGTTTGCATTGAATTTGTTGATAAATTTGGTGAAAAGTGACATCTTAACAATCTTGAGCTCTAATCCATTTATTTATTTTTCTTTAATCTTGCCAGAAGTGTTTACAGCTTTCAGTATAGAAGTCATACACTTCTTTCATTAAAATTATTCTTATTTTATTCTTTGAGGGGACTACTTTAAATGATATTGCTTTTTAAATTATTTCTAACAATTGTATGAACATAGAATTGATTTTCAGAAACATTAACCATGTATTCATGACCTTCCTAAATTCATGTATTCTAGTAATATATTTGTAGATTTCCTTTGGATTTTATAGAAAAAAACAATCACGTCATCAGCAAATAAAACTCTCTCTTTTTTTTTTTTAGCGGTACGCGGGCCTCTCACTGTTGCGGCCTCTCCCGTTGCGGAGCACAGGCTCAGGACGCGAAGGCCCAGCGGCCATGGATCACAGGCCCAGCCGCTCCACGGCATGTGGGATTCTCCCGGACCGGGTCACGAACCCGTGTCCCCTGCACCGGCAGGCGGACTCTCAACCACTGCGCCACCAGGGAAGCCCTCTCGGGCCTCTCACTGTTGCGGCCTCTCCCGTTGCGGAGCACAGGCTCAGGACGCGAAGGCCCAGCGGCCATGGATCACAGGCCCAGCCGCTCCACGGCATGTGGGATTCTCCCGGACCGGGTCACGAACCCGTGTCCCCTGCACCGGCAGGCGGACTCTCAACCACTGCGCCACCAGGGAAGCCCTCTTTTTTCTTTCTTGTTGCACTGGTTAGGAGTTTAAATACAATGTTGAGGAGAAATGGTGAGAATGGAATACCTTGCCTTGTTTCCAATGTTAGAGAAAATGCATTTAGTATCACCATCAAGTATGATGTCATACACACACACACACAACTGAGGAAGTTTCTGTTTATTGCTAGTTTGCTGAGAGTTTTATCATGGACAGACGTTAAATATTATCAAATGCATCTATTGAGCTATTCATATCATTTTCCTTTTTTATTCTTTAATTTAGTGAGTCACATTGATTGATTTCCAGAGCCTCCTCTTAAGTAGAAGCAGATAACCACAGGTCAGCAGACATTTGAAGAAAGTCTCCAATATCAGAAAGAAAGAAGAACGTTAAAAAAGAGAAAAAGTTGCCCCAGGAGAAACAGAGATATTGTAGGAAACAGGAGAAACTTCCAAAACCTCTAATATTTTTAGAGAGATTTGAGAATACATATTGCACCCCTGGTTACAAAGAAAAAAGAACTATCAGAGAAAGAGATAGTGGCATTAGATATTTTTTAATTGATTGTTGGAAATTTACTAAAATGGTTGTAAAATAAAGTTGGGGAAATTTCCCACAAAATTAAATGAAGAGATTAAAAGAACAAAAAAGAATAAATTTGAAAGACAACATAGGAGAGTAAGATTAATTTAGGGGTCTAATAGCAACCTAATTAGAGTCAAGAAAGATGTGCAAGGCAATGCAGAGGAGGACCACATCAAGAGAATTATTTAAGGAGTTAGGTACCAGGGAGTAGAAGGACATGGATTTTTTTTAAAAGGACTTAGATAAATGAATTTTAAAAGAACCAAACCAAGGCATATCACTAGGAAATGCCAACATCTAAAAAACAGAGAAGAGCTTAAAATATTCCAGAAAGAATTAAGAAACTGGTCACTTGTGGAGGAATGATGGCAAGAATAGCTTGAGACATCTCATCAGTAACAGATCTGGCCCTTCAAAATACAGAGTGAATCAGGACAACTTCAGACATGTAGGGCTGAGAAATTTTACTTTACAAACATCCATTTTGAGTGTTTTCCTAAAATTTTCTTTATTTCCTTTATGCATATGTCAATACATATATTTAAGGTTTAAAAATACAGTTTATACGTGCTCTAAAATTTTTATGCAATCATTATTTTCCTTTCCATCCACATCACTGTGCCCACTCCTCCTGCATAATCCATTTTAATCACCTTGCATGTATTCTTTCCTAAATTCTCCATAAGCATATAAATCCATCTACCTATTTCTATAACCTACTCACAACTTGCAGGGGGTTTATTCATCATATTATATTATAATATTATATAATTTTCTTTGAATTACAAATTGTCTTCTGCATCAAATTTGTCTTCACATTAATACCTTGCAAAATATTCTCTAAGTAATCTAGTGTGGTTCTAGCTTGTTTATTTATTTATTTTGTCAATGTATAATATTGAACAGCACACACCCACTCTTAGGAAAATACAATATGATGGATTTCGGAAAAACAGGGAAGTAATCCAGTAATGAGGAAAATGTGAAAATTAGAAACCAGTGGATCCAGTAATGGATGCAAGTTGGCAGTCCAGTAACAGATGGAGAACATGACCATCTCAGATGGAACAGGTGATGATTAAAGCACATAAATAAGTGCAATGAATGACAACAATGTCATAAGGGAAGGGAGAAGGGAATTGGGAATAGTCTGCTATAAGGTACCTGTGCTACAGGGGAAGTGGTATAAAATATGTATTGCAATCTCTAGACAACCACCAAAAACATTTAAAAAGAAGTATAATTGATATATTAATAGAAGACTAAGATGGGCTCATATAAAATGCTAAATTAAAGCTAGAGAAGGCAGAAAAAGAGGGGGAAAAAAGAGACAACAAATACAATGAATAAAGAACTGTTACAAACATGGTAATATAATCCAGTATATCAATAATTACTTTC